TGCAAATCAAATCTACTCTAAGATTTCATCTCATTCCAGTCAGAGTGACAGCTATCAAGAATACAAATAACAATAAGTGTTGGTGAGGATGTGGAGAAAAAGGCACACATACATTGCTGGTGGGACTGCAAATTGGTGCAGGCAATCTGGAAAACAGTATTTTCTCCTTGGAAAACTTGGAATGGAACAACCATTTGACCCAGCTATCCCACTCCTTGGTTTATACTCAAAATATTTAAAAACAGAATACTACAGGGACACAACCATATCAATGTTTATAGCAGCACAATTTTCCATAGCTAAACTGTGGAACAAATACAGATGCCCTTCAGTAGATGAGTGGATAGGGAAACTTTGGTATATATATGCAATGGAACGTTATTCAGCATTAAAAGAGCATTTGCAGGGAAATGGATGGAATTGGGGAATATGATGCTAAATGAAGTAAGCCAATCCCCAAAAACCAATAGCCAAATGTTTTCTTTGATATGAGGATGCTGAATCATAATGGTGATGTTGGGGGGAGAATGGGAGAAATGGAGGAACTTTAGATAGGGCAAAGAGGAGGGAGGAGAAGGGAGGGGGCAAAGGGGTAGGAATGATGGTGGAATGAGTTAGACATCATTACTCTAAGTACATGTATGAAGACACGGTGTGAAAATATTTTGTGGACAATCAGCGACTTAAAAAATTGTGCTCTATATGTGTAATAAATATGAAATGAATTGCATTCTGCTACTAATTCTAACAAATTAGAATAAATAATAATTTAATTAAAATTTTTTGAAAATTCAAAAAAAAATTATAACTTAGTGTAACTTCTGATTTTGAAAAACTCTAAGAATTTGTTAAGCTGTCCTTCTGCAGTTGCTTGCCTGCCACCAATGGTCAGGACAAACGTGCATCCCTAAGCTCATGCATCCCAGGCATTTCATTCCTTTATAATTAGGGTATGACCAGTGCTGGATCTTCAGCAAGACAACCCAATGACTCACTGATTCTGAGGAGTGAAGATGCACTTAGAATTTTTCAACTAATATGAAGAGTATTCCCAACTGTAGTAATATTTTGCAAAGTAGATAACTTATAAATAAAAAATAATAATTATAATTAGTTGGAAAAGCTGAATCTATTTAAAATCTAAAAATAAAAGACAAAATATGTTTCTTGATGATCCCCAAATGGGAAGTTACTCTGAATATACCAAAAGGTTTTTGTTTGGTATACATAGTAGTAATGTATGCAGACAAATTTTAAAAAGTTATTGATTGATGAAAATAAGCTTACAAGAGTTCTACTCAAATTTTTGGTAATCATCTACATCCATTAGTAGATAATGTATACATTGTTGGTCCAAATCAGAAATGTTCAAGGTGTTTGTTTAAGGTTTCACTGTAAAGAAAGTTATGTCTTAGGAAGACAAGGAAATATTGCAGATAATCAAAAGATTTTTATGGGAACTTCTTAGTGTTATGTTTTGGATAATCACACACTAAGCATGAGAAAATAAAAAACTAATCTTAAGCTTGTAAACTGTATAATCTATAACCACAAAACAAACATACATAGATACACATACACACACTCACACAACATAAAAAAAATCAATCTAATATTGATCTTCCTGTTTAACATAGAGTATTTCACTTCCAAGCATTAGTAAATTCCAATTCTACAAATAAGATAAGGCATTTGAATAGATAACTTACTCCTATTTGTAATTAACAGCATTAACACTTCACTGAGTTAACACATCACTCAATTTCTCACAAAACTTTATTGAAGAGTGGGTACTTATTTTGTAATAAGGAAAAGGTATTTCCCTCATTTAATAAGATTATTGAGCCTAGGCACAAAGTGTTGTTCTTGAGCACATTTAGCAAAATGGAAGCACCAAGGACATCTTGAGACCACTAAACCCTGGCTGCTGCTTCTACCCAAGGAGCTAAACTTGGGGGCTCAATCATAGTAGACTGACATAGGTATAGATTCCACTGTATTTCACTTCCACACAGATGGAGAATGCACAGACCTTGAGACCACCTCAAGTTAGGACAGAGAGCCAAAAATCAGGAAGATAGGCACTAAACCCAAGACTATCATTTAGGTTTCTTTGTTTTCTGAGAAGTCTGTGTCAACACAACCCAACAGGAGGCTAGGAAAACCTGGGCTGAGTCACTTCTCCTCTTCAGTATTTTTCTAGGTATATCTCAGGCCTATTCAATGAATCCTAAATGGGGCTCAATAGACCTACTGTGAAGCCCCAAATTTACTTCTTATCACCTATGATTTATGAGTACTTTTACTCAAATAGTAATTGATCCTCTTGCCTATGAAGAGTTCTATGTTTTATAATGTATTTTCCAGAACTAAAATTCTTTTTAAGATTATATCTAAAATTAAATTCTTATATTCACTTGAGGTTTATAATCTCTCCCTTAGAATTAAGTCCAGACAAACAGATAATGAAAATTAAATCTACTATTTCAATTCTATGTTAAAGAATACATACATGTACAAATTTTAAAATAAAAATTATTATATACTGCATCATTAAATTCAGATGCTCTTGATGTTGTGAGCACTTAAGTAGTAAAAGATTTGGTAAGCATTCATGTATGTGGTAATTCCTTAATATCACAACAGGATGTTTCAGAGTTATTACTTTGCTTCCTCATGCTGTGCAAATAGCAAAATATCACAGCAAAAATGAACAGGGAAATCCTAAATATATTTTTTAATTTACTACCTTTATTGTTGGTCTGCAAAACAACATGTGATGTGAAAGTAAAAGGGGCTTTATGGTCAGATGGGCTTGGCTTCCACTTCTAGCATCATCAATTACCACCTAGATGACCTTAAGCAATTACACATCCACCAATTAATATCAACTTCAGAATGTCAGAAATAATTTTCTTTGACATTTCTATATAACCAGTAGGACCCAGCATATTGAAAATATTTGTTCATAGAATGAGCCTCTGAGAATCTCCGTTTTTCATGAGACATAAAGATAATACCTTATGCTTTACTCTAGAATTTAAAAGACAATTTGTGTGACAGCCATTACCACAGCCCATGGCATCTAATAGGCATTCAAAATATGCTTGTTTTTTTCCCTAGGCCCAGTATAAAATAACACTGAGTCACTAAAAGGGAAATATATCCCTCAAAAATACTTATTTTAGGTATAATAGCTATAAAAGCAATGATGCATATCACATAGTTTTATGTCAATTAACTTTAAATTAAGGAATATATCAACTCCTGAAGATATAAAATGCTCATTATTCTCCTATTGTGTCAATGGAAATTACTCTATTTCTATGAGCACTTTGTACTAACTCAACATCTTAATTTCTGTACAGAGTCTCAAGAGAATACTTTCACTCAAAGGTAAGCTGCTTTACTAGATTTGCAGATCCTCAAAGTCAAGGACAGAAACTTACAAGTAATATCTGGATAAATCATAGAAAATTGCTGATATTTGGCCACTTATGACCTATAAAAGTGGCAATTTCATGATGTTCAGCCAGTAGCCAGTCCACAAATAGTCTCCTGCCCACTCCATGTTCCTCATTAAGATTCGAGTAGCCAGTTGCAGTGGTGCACACCTGTAATCCCAGTGGTTCCCAAGGTTGAAGCAGGAGGATCAGAAGTTTGAGGCCAGCCTCAGTAAGGCCCTATCCAACTTCACAAGACCCTGTCTCAAAATTTAAAAAGTAGGGAGAAGGGAGGCTCAGGACGTAGTTCAGTAGTTAAACAGCCCTGGGTTCAATCCCCAATACCCGAAAAAAAAAAAGAAAGAAAGAAAGATAGATAGATCCAGGTTGAATGCTACTTCCTCTATAAGGATTCCCCAGCCATTTTGTGTTTCCACTCTGTTTTGTTATCTATATCACTACGGAAAGTAGTATAAAGATTCCTTAGAAAACTTGGAATGGAATCACCATTTGATCCAGCTATTCCACTCCTCGGTCAGTCTATACATAAAGGATTTAAAATCAGCTTACTATAGTTACACAGCCACATTAAAGTTCATAGCAGCTCAATTCACAATAGCTAAACTGTGGAACCAACCTAGATGCCCTTCAATAGATGAATGGATGAAAAAACTGTGGTATACATACCAATGGAATATTACTCAGCATTAAAAGAGAATAAAATCATGGCATTTGCAGGTAAATGGATGGAGCTGGAGAATATGATGCTAAATCATGTAAACCAATCCCCAAAAAACCAAAGGCCAAATTCTCTGATAAGTGAATGCTGATCCATAATGATCCATAATGGGGCAGAGGGTGGGGGGCAGGAGAAAAATGGAGGAACTTTGGGCATAAGAGAGAGAGGGGAAAGGATATATGGGCAGGAAAGATGGTGGAATGAGATGGACATCATTACCCTAGGTACATGTATGACTGCATATATGGTACCACTCTACATCATGTACAACCAGAGAAATGAAAAGTTGTTTTCCATTTGTGTACAATGAATCAAAATGCATTATGCTGTCTTGTAAAACAAATTAGAACAAATAACAAAAAAATCAGAATTTATTCCTATGGGTGTGTCTCTGTTTTTGCCTAAATTAAAAGCAAGCAGTTATTAAATTCAAAATTTACAGGTACATGAAAACCTCGGGTTTCTCAAGATCTTTCATTTGTAAAATTCACTGATTTTTTTTTTTCCATGCTAAGGATCAAACCCAGGGTTTCATGCGTGCTAGCAAATATTTCACCACTAAACTATGCTCCAGCACAAAAGAACTGGTCTTTATTAGGAGTCATCTTGTATGTAAATCAGGCTTAGAAAAAAAACTTGCATGGCCAAAACTTTTCTCACATTTTTGCCAGAAAGAAATCAAATAAATATATGAATTACACACAACAAAAAAAAAATCATGAGGAATTTGAAATTAAAAATATAAACAATACAACAATTATCAGCTACGTTTATACACCACTAGATTTTATTCAACAACAATAACAAGAAAAACTTACCAGTCTCAGAAGTTCTTACAGATAGTAATGCAGATGACTGATTGCCATGACCAAATTTGGTATACGACCTGACAGAAATGTTATAGAGAGTGTAAGGTTTTAAGTCCCTTAAAGTTATACTTGTTGTTGAGGTGTTCTTTATACGCAAAGTATCCATATTTTTATAGAGAACTTCATAAGCAACAATAATCCCATTAGGTTTTTCAGGTGGTGACCACTTTAACCTTATTTCACTTGCAGATACATCTATTACTTCAACATCTTGGGGTGACGATTCTGGCTCTAGGGGAAGAAAACAAAATATTAAGCACATTTTTTAATGCTTATTCCTTCAGACATGGAAGAAGGAATGAAGTAGAAACAGTAGCCATGTAATATCACTCTCTTTCTTTCTTTTTAAGTTAAAATTGCACCTGATATTCTTACCATCTTCTGGAGTTCTCACAAAGATCTCATTTTCTTCAGACAAAGAGCTTTCTCCAACATGAGTAGAGGCAGCCACTCTCATTTTATATTTTGTGTATTTCTTTAGCCCTGCAAGGATAATAGGAAACTGTTTAATGTATTAATGATATTTAAGATAGGGAAAGTGCAAATGATTTATTAGAGGGATTGTTATCTAAATCAGTTTCCATATAATCCCAATATCCCCATATTCCTTGAACTTTTTCAGCATTTCCATGTATATGATGTCTAAGTTCTTTCCTAAAATATTAAGACACTAATCTAAAGCTGGAAAATAACTTTTGGCACATAGAAAGGGGAATGATTGGCTTGGCAATACTTCAGCTGCTGTTCACATTCATTCAAATCTTCAACAATGAGTTACTTCAGTGTACCAGTTGTAGTATTTCCTCAGTTAAGAAAATTTCTATGAAACTTGTGATCAGATGCTTTTTATTCCTTTGTGGGTAAATATAGTTAAAGAAAAACATGTTTAATCAAGTTATTTCTGCAAGTATTTTTTAAGATATCCATGGATCTGTAGAACAACAAAATCTGAAATGATATTGCATGAATCCTGTCTTGTTTAAGGTATATAGAGATGCATATTTCCATCAAATTAGGAATATTAAAAAAACATGTTTTTTGTGCTACCTGTTATGAGAAAGCTGTTATCTATAGTAGTCATCTGGAATGCTCTGTTTGTATCCAGTTCCATTGCATAAATGGTATAATGGGTTATTTTTCCATTGGGATATTCAGGAGGATCCCAATATAGCAAAATAGATGAAGAACTAATATTTTTATAGTTTATAGTTTGAATGGAGCTTGGCACTTGAAAAGAAGAATGAAAAATTAATATGAATGAAAAGAAAAGCATTATAGTATGCAAGAGCAGTATTTGCAGGTAACTGTTTCAAAGGAAATACAGTCTTACCTTGTTCACGAGTCCTAACATTGAGAACCGTTGGTGGTCCTTCTCCCATGATGGTGAAAGCAGATACACTAATCATGTGCTCAGTGAAAGGAGCAAGTCGCCTGATAACGTAAGACAGCTGTTCGGCAGCAATGTCAGTGATATACTGATTCCTTGTGGTTACTGTTTGCATCAGTGAGGAGAGAAAAAAATGGGGGGTGTTATTAGGAGAGCTAAAGAAATGAAAATTTTATTTGGATTCAAAACTATTTCTATTCAGTGAAAACTGATATCACATTATTCATTAATCTCTTCATTTACTTCTCTCTATATAAAATATAGATCATAATTAATAAAAAACATAAAATCATTGATTTTAGAGATCATATTGAATATTAGTATGAATTCTAAATATTCTCCCTATAATGTCTACAAACACATTGTGCTCATAATATAGCATCATTAGTTGTCATATACTATTCTGAACATGAAATTTGTGCTTTGAGAAAATATAATTTTCTATGGGAGACTGTCTATGATGTTTTTCTGAAAACAAAGACTAGACAATAATATTAAATTGAAATATTATAAATCAACACTGTTTATTAGGAGAGCTAAAGAAACGAGAATTTTATTTGGACTCAAAATTCACCATACATTCACTAGTCCCAACAATTTCCTCAAAGCCAGCATCCTTGAATAACTGAAACATAAATATGACTGAACAGAGATGTCAAATGTTAAATTTTTACTTAATGTAGAACTGGTGCTTCAAAAATGCTTAATTAACAATTAGACAAAATTTGAAGTGTTTTAGGAGACATCTTTATCAGATATCATGGACCTCTTAATTTGTAGTGCTGCCCCTAGTCAGTTTTGCAGTAGAAAAAAAAGATTGGTAAATTAAATAAACATGTATCTAATAAAATGTGATTTTTTAAAACTAATTCTACCATAAATAGAATAACACTTAATTTGGAGTGAGAAAAATGCCAAATCTGTGAAAAGGCAATGAAATAAAATATTCTTCTTAACATTTTATAAAAATCAAAGAGATAATCTAGAGCTGTATCATATAACCAAATATTTTTAATTTGTCACATATGACACTGTCCTTTTAGAAACAATAAGATCCACTGACCCTGAAGAGCAAGTGTATACGCTAATGACATCACCACATCATTGGGGTCACCTACACCTGTTTACTACTCCATGCACTAGAGTTGTAACTTTCTGACCTATTTACCTTTAGTGACATTTGAAAACCTATTAGTCAAAAGCTGCAAAGAATGTGAGGCCTGTAAATGATTTGAAGATATGTTAATCCCTTCCCATCACACCTGCTTTGGCAACTGTAATAACTGATTGTCTATGCAGCTTGGCCAAAGACTCTAGGGTGCTACTTTCTCTAGGAAGAAGGTCAAATGGGTTAGGTGGGGCCAGCTCCTGCCTGTGTGGCATTTCCATTTGCTGAATGAGGTTAACTGACGGTTGAAAAAAATTTGACTCCAGCCCATGGATCATTAATAATATGGTTGAACTTTAAGCTAAGGTTCACATCTCTGCTAGCTATTACTGGTGGTTTCAATGCATTTCATAGAGAATTAAAATTTTACCTACCTACGGGTGAATGCTGGTCTTCAGCTCTACTCCTTACAAGAAAGTTATTATGTACATCATTGTTATACACAAATGAAGCCAGTGAGTGCAGATCAGAAGACATCTCTGCTGAGCCCTCATAAAATCCTATCATTGGCTCCACTATATTCATCATTTCTGGAGACATGGGATCATTTATATACTGTAATTAAAAGTAGATGTTTACAATGACTAGAAACTCAGTTAAACTTAATGACTTGTAGCTTTGGAGACACATATTTTGAAACAATATTATTTCCATAACTATTGCCTTCTTTATGTTATAAGATTTCATTCTCCAGCTACTAAAACTCTGCACCACCGTAACACATTGTGATCACTCTACTTCTCGACAACACACTGTATTTTGAGAAGAAGCAGGTATTTGTTTCTGACTTGAGTTATTTCTGTATGGCAAGATTAGACAACCTTATGTAAAAGTTTCACGACTGAAATCCTTTCAACTTCTCATCCCACAATGGGAGGTGTTCCAGGAATCCTGACTTATTAAAAATGTGTTTGTTTTTCCTATCTAAGAATCTTTGTATGACAGGTATGAGAGTCTTGCATGCCTACTTGTAATTGTCAATGACAATAATTTATCTAACTAAAGCAAAGTTACAGAAAAGAATAAAACTGCATGGTAAGAGTTTTTAAACAGGGGCAATGGCAAATCTATCCACAGTTCTGGACCTATGAAACATTATAAAAAACTGCCATTGTTCCTAGATTCCATAATGCAATTCATACATGTCAAGGTCCACTAGTGGCAGATAATGTAGTGAAGGCATCAGGAGCAGACTGTGGGTGGAGGAGAAGGTCTTGCTGGGATAACAAGATGCCTTTCTCCCTATCCATCCCTAGCAAAATAACTGATTGAAACAGAATGGGAAAAGATATTTTGGTCAAAAAATATTAGATATTTATATAGAATGTCAATGTCAGAAGATGGTTTAATATTAATAGAAGAAAATGTTCCCTAAAGAGACTTTATACCCACTTCAGTGCAGGGCCTTTGTTGGAATTCTAATTTGAACATCTCTCTCTAGATAGGCTTTAGTGATAACCAGGGAAATTTTAATATGCTCTAGGTAATAAATGATGCCAAGACAATATTTTTATTTGTTAGTTGTAGTCATAGTACTATTAAGTGGATGAAAATGCTCATTTCTTAGTTTTTTGCTTAGCCACATAGGAGAAAAATAATGTGATGTCTGGAAATTTATTTTAAAATACAACCACTACCAACAGTCATGGGAACCAGCTGAGGATGTTGATAACTTTTTAATCCATGTGCATATATGGAGATATGCTGTACTCTTCTTCCACTTCTAGGCCTGCTTGAAATTTCCCAAAATAAAAGGTTTTTGTTTTTTTAATGATGCAAATTCACTCTTTAATCAATTCCTTTTCAAGTTCTGCTTCAAAACTCACCTACAAAGCCCTTTCACAAAGAATTTATTCTATTCTTTATCAAGTCTCTGCTCAAGCTTCAACATTTGTAAGTATTTCATAGTATAGGATGTGAGTTTTTTTTTAAGTGGCCCCTGTCTTTTAATTACTTTTTATGTTTTTGAGTTGTCTTAATTCCTAGAGCCAAAAAAGGGTTGATCATTAATATCAAAGCACTTAGTGTTTAAAAAGACAATTGTGGATATCCAGGAAAAAATTTTAGGAAGGCAAGAAATTTTAGGACAGTTCAGTTCATTAAAAAATCTACCAAGGCACCTTATTTAAACACTGTTTTCTGATAAAGAATGGAGACATAATTCAAAACAATATCCATCCTTCAAATGACATATAAAATAAAATTACCTAAATCATTTTGCACCTTAACCACAAAAGGATTCTGCAGAAAAGCAGGGGACACCAAGGAGATCTAAAGGGTTGTGATAAAGCTCCCTGGACGGGGAGCCTCACGGAGGATAAGGTGAAGATCTTCTACCTTCCAACAGCTCACTTGAGCTCTGCCTCCACAGGGGAATTAGAGAGGGCACGAATCACAAACACATAATTCAGAGATGCTCTGGTATTCCAGTCAATAGTTTATGCCTGAGCCCCACAGCTGTTTCCACCATCAATCAGTCACCCTTTGAGAATCCAGTGTGTACAAAGGCCCTATGAACAAGACACTGAGGTAACACAAAGAATTTCCCCTTGAACTATGATTTTTTGCAATAAATCTCTCCATGTTTTCTTCTTCATGTCAGATAAATTATTGAGAGGTAAACCATAGCATTCCATCAATTAGCTAAGTAGTTCTGTAGACAAACTTCCATTTTAATGTGTTAACGTGAGTACTTTTGACTCTGAATTTCTCCCAAATTGTAGTTTTCATTGAAAAAATCCTCCACATCTCAGACAGTAATTTAAACATTGGTTTTGTAACAACCTAGAACATCAGCAATCATCATTAAGTGTGCCATGTTGTAAATACCTCTCAGGCTTTGCCTTGTTCAAAAGACATTAGATTGGATATTGGGTTTTTCAAAAGAGAAAATGAAGTAAAAATTTTAAGGGCAAAAATGATCGGAAAGAATGAAAACTTAAGAGTAATGAGAAGGGGTGGAAACATGGGTGGAAAAGCCGTAACTGACTGGGCACAGTAGCACATACCTACACATGACTACTGAATTTCTCAGAAGAGTACACTAAAAAGGGGAAATATTACTGTATGTAAATTATACTTCAACAGCTTGACTTTCAAAGAAGCAGATTTTTTTTTTTTTAAGTGATGGGAAAGTAGCCCAGTACAAGGGCACACAACTGTAATCCCAGCAACTCAGGAGGCTGAGGCAGGAGGATTCCAAGTACAAAGCTATCCTCAGCAACTTAGAGAGGGCTTAAGCAACTTAGTGAGGCCATTACTCAAAATAAAAAATAAAAAGGGCTGAAAATGTGGCTTAGTGGGTTCCATCCTCAATAAAAAAAAAAACAAAAAAAAAACCCTAAAAACAAAAAAGAAAAAAAAAGGGAACTGGAAGTTAAACAAAGCTCATTGCAACATTTAAAAGTTTGGGACCCATCAGTGCAGTGCTACTGACATTCTGTATTAGATAATTTCATCATGGGGAGCTGTCCTGTGTAGCATAAAATGTTTAGCGATATCCCTGGTCCATAACCACCAGAAACACGCTCCCACTTGTGACATTGAAAATGTCTTCAGAGATTACCATATGTCTCCTGGAGAGCACAGTTGCCCCCAGTTGAAAACCCTTGAGTCAGAGAATGTCACAATTCATCAACATGAAAGGCCTTGCATATGCTACCCAGGAATCCTTGGAATTTATGTGAAAGAATTAGAAGTCTTCAGAGTTAAATTCCTAATCCACCTGAATAAACCAACTTGATTTTACATATAATAATCTTTGTTAAAGCAAGTGCAATTTTATTTTTTATTTTTTTAAAAGCTATTATATCTATCAATTTAGACTCACTGGAGTTCTAGTGAATTGAATTAATGAAATGTTTGACCTATTCTTAATACTTCTATTTTAAAATAGACATAATTGATACCGTTAAGAAGTAATAAAAAGAAAGTTTACAATTAGCACATGTCTGGAAACTTCCTTAAGGATACTGTGTCATTCTACACATTGTTCTGGTGAAGGAATCCTTAAGGCTCACTAAAGCAAACACACCTCAAAGGCCTACTAAGTAAGGTTCAGTCCTCGGCCTCATTTTGTACCAACTGGTGGGGCACTTAGCTGGCTTTCTTCCCAGGTTCACCAGTGATGAACTTTGATATACTTAAGGAGTATGTACAATGAAAAGATGTACTGACATTAATACCAGAGGTTTATAATACTTAGGCAGCAAAAGAATGTCTATTGGAGGAAAAATGTTAGGCTTCTAATAGAAGAACAAGTACAGGATGAAATCAAAGTGTGAAATTCAATTAAAAAATAGTTTCTTGGAGGGATGACTTTAAGGTTTTTCAGACTTCAGACCCAAGGAAATTAATTTTTATGTTTGACTATTTTGGTCGAAGGAGAAAATAATCCCACTCAAGTTGATTCTAGTTAAATGTCATACAGTTTCTTGTTCTCCTGTGTACATTCTGGGCCTAACAGAACTTCACTGTCACTTGATAAACAACTGCTGTGGGATCATAAAGAAGAATTTTAAAGCTTATTGACTGCTTTTATGGTAATGAATACCCAATCATCAGAGTTGATCAAATACTTTAACAGAGGCTAGATTTCTAACCATTCCTTAGGAATGCTATAGATGAGGTTCATATATAATTTGAGAAGCTGAAATAAGTCTTCAAGCCCTGAGATTCCATTTTTAACAAAAGTTTTAAAATATCCATTTAAATATCAAAAGTAAAATCTTACACATATTTTGAATTGTTTAAATACACCCTACTTATTAAGATACAAATAAAGCATGAAGGGTGAATGGAAAAAAATTCCATAAAGGTTATGAGACCAGATCAAGCCTAGCATAGGAGGATTATATTTTAATATTTTTAAAGGTTCATCATTGGGATATAGTCACATGGTTAACAAAACTAAAACCAAGGAGTGATAAAGAATTTGTAATGAAAATAACAATGTTGTTCATATCTTCCCTATTTCAAGCCTTTCTCCTCAGAAGCAACACTTCTACCCATTTCTACCTCTTAGTGTTTATTCAATCACTAAACAGCATGTTCACACACTCCATTATGTTAGCATTTATTGATTTTCTTCTTTTTATGATAGTGAGGTATTCTCAATTTTTATTTTGTTATTTTTATCCTGTAAATAGTATTCTAAAGACTAGAAGGATAATTTTCATGGGTATGTGAAACATGAGGCAGTGGACTGGAACAGTATGGTGGTAGCCTCTCAGGGGGTCCTGTCATCCCCACCAACTGCTATTGATGCTTTTGCATACTCTCTCCCCTTGAGTTAGAAGAGACCTGTGGCTTGCATGTAACCAATAGAATAATAGGAATGGAATGTCACTCCCATAACCATTACCTTATATAGACCCTCCCTGCTGGTTTGCTGTTCCTTAAACAACCTTTATGTCAGAGACCAAGGGAGTACACAGTCTAAGGGATGAGGGAATTCTAAGCCTGCAACTCTATACCAAGGCTTTAAGTCAGCCACTCCTCAGACCATGTTCTTCACATACTTGTCTGGATGGACCTTTTTCTTGTGTGTCCTGTGGAAGCCTCACAAGTCACCATTGTTGTCCCAGGACTTCTGTATTTTCAGTATCATGCTTCATCAGTACTTCACAACCTTCTTCCCACTTCCCATTCCTATATCCTATTATCTCAAGGAGGAGGGTTGTTTTGTTTTATGGGGAGAAATTAGTTTAGATATAATGAACTGTGCCAGAACCTTCCCACATCAGATACAAGTAGAAATTCATAATGTCAGAGAGAAAGGTCAGAGTGCAAAGTCAGGCAAAGAAATCACATACAAACAGGAAGCAGTGATTGAAACTGTGAAACCATACAAAGAGAGTGTTATGAGGTGGCTGAAAACAGAGCCCCCCAGAACACCTGTATCATAGTCAGAAAACAATAATAAGAACTAGCTCTTTTATTTTCTTCATTTTAAAATGTTTAAAGCCAAAGTATTGCAAAGTCACAACACAGAAAAGCAGAGGAAGAAATAAGAAGAAAATAGTGATGTGCTAAGGACACAGGCCATCTGGATTTAGAGCATCTGCTACTTTCATCTCCCATCACTCTCCTGAAAGGTGAACTCAAACACCAATCACATGGGAAAGCATATGTATCAAAAATGAGTTTGATCTAACAAAAAAGATACTATCACAAACATAAAGTAGAATGTTTCCTTCTACTGAGAGAAGATAAGGGAATACTGAATGTCAAGTAGAGTGAAAGGTCCAATACCAAGAATCATAATCAAAACAGGTCACAATAATTAGCATACCACTATGTGCCAGATACAGTTCTAAGCTCTTTGCTTACATTAACTCATTAAATCCCCATCATTAACCCTTTATTCCAGGAACCTATAACCTCTGCTTCAAAGAACAGGAATCTGAAGTTTGCAACTATGCCAGGATTGAGTCATTGGTAATGGCAGAACTAGCTGTCTCTGGGGCTTACAAGCAACTCTTTTGCTATCCACACAGTAAGAGACTAGATCCACATCAGGATTTAAATCTAGATTTGTAGGCTCCAAAGGATATGTTCTCTCTACATCACAGGAATTGCATACCAGATAGAGGCGGAATCACAAGATTTTCTATAATCACTTAGCTTCAAGAGAAAAACAGGTCTGGCTGGCCATTCAATAGATGTTATCAGCATAAGTGGGAGACCTGTTACCTGGTCCAAAGAAGGTTTTGTCTAATTTAAGACCTTCTCAGCAGGAATAAAGGTTTAAGCTTTTGCCCTTTGCCTGAGTTTTCAACTAGAGTATCAGAGGAAGCATAACTCAACATCCTTTACACAGAGGAAAGGAGTCAACACAAGATTAAAATTTAACCCTGGGATGGAGATGGTGAGCAACTTGGACTGACAAGTCCTGGTAGCCAGAGGGCACTAACTACATGGTAAGGTCAACTTTCAAGTGTCAGAACTGTGGGACTAGAAATAGAGTATCAGTAAATGTGGGGAAAAGTAACAGCACAGGTAGCAGGAGCAGCAATCCTGAACCCTAACAATAGAAGCCAGTTATTGAATAACTTTTAGGTATCACTTAAGGTCAAGTGATGGCTGCACTGGTCCTAAGTATGTTTATTCTTTTGAGTGCCCCAGGGAGCTGCCAGTACCTCAACATGACTAGTCTGGAGGCTGAAGGGGTCTTCACCAAGTGAGCAGCTGGCTAAGTGAGGTAAACAGAGATACTGATGCCAAATCACTGCTGCCTGCACTTCCCAGCACAAATAAAGGGTGGGGGGAATGAGATTTCCAGGATGGGTAAATGCAAATATATTGTCAAAAGATCCTGTTCCTCTCATTTTAAATCTATGAAAGGCTCTTTTAGTTCTGTGATTTCTTTAATCAAATATGCTTTTTAAAAAAATAAGGCAGCTCTGAGAAATTTAGCTTCCCAAGATCAAACAGGACAAAATCTTTTGTCAACAACAGCTACTAAAATCACTGTGACTTTTCATTGGCAACTGTTCCAAATTACAATCCTCTGAAAGAGTATTAAAGTCATAACAGGAGTTTCCAAACAATTCATTAACTGAATTAGCATAATAAAATTCGAATACAGAAGTACCTTTAGTTCTGCCTAATTGCTCAGTTAAGATTTTTCATATGCTGAAAAAGGATAATGATAATAGCATTTAACTAATAATATATGTCCTAAAATGAAATATGATCTAGCCACATAATCACTATGCCCCAATTTATATCACTTTCTACTAGGAAGCTTGTCAAATTGTTTATGTGGAAGGCTGGCAAATCTTCTAAATTTTCATGGCCAGAACTAAGAAGAAAGGGCTCACAAGGTGGAAATGAAAGTGCAATACCTCGTCTTTTCCTGTAAGCAAGGTATTTTCCAAAACTACCCCGGTCTCTGAAACCAATACTTTCACTCGATATTGGTTAATGATTCCATTTGGTTGTCGTGGTTTTCTCCAAGTAATTCTAATTTCTGTGGCTTCTACATCTGCTAGTTGTAAATCAAATATTGCACCTGGAACTAAAAGAAAAAAGGGTGGGCCTTAAAAATACATTTTAAAATAAAAAATATTCCCTAAATACTTAGCTCATTATTTAAAATATGTAATCGATTCTATAAGAAAACTAACTAAAACAATTTACAAATTTATTAAAAATCAAATATATAAGAGTCTCTAAATATATGGACATTTGAAGTTAAATATCTGCACAATTTCCTCAAAATGTAAATAAAGGGTAAGATAACATAAAATAATTTTCCAAAATCAAACTGCCATAATACTTGGTTGTAACAAATTAATTCATAATAATTTTCCCTGAGAAGCTATCAGTGAATATTAATGCCCAATTGAAACCTTGAAGGCTTCATAAAAATTATAATAATATATCAAAAAAAGAATATCCAGAATACTTCAAAAAATCATACAATAAATTCAATTAAGCCATCTTTTAATTTATTTCACAAAAATTTGTGAAGAACTGATTGATTTTTTTCTGCTGAATTTTCAAATTGGTTATGTGAGCCTCAAATTTCAAGTGGCTTCATCCTTTGTAGTAGTAAAAAAAATAAATTAATTAACAATTGGTTCAAGACAATGCACCACAGGCTTAAAGCAAACTAGTTATAAAATCATCCACAGGGACATTTGGGAAACCTCCCAGTGCCCCAAAAGTAATGAACCAAAGATAAACATGTCCTGGGTTTTTGACTACTCTGTTTATAGCTCATTATATAATTACAAATAGCCTTCTGATTCTGACTTACCTTATCTATAATGAGGCTAAAATTTTATCTTTCCTTTAACCACACAAGGTTACTATAAGGAATAAATGGTTCAAGGGAATTTCCAACATGTAGGTTCAAGAAAGAGAAAAAATGCCATAAAAATATTATCCCTTATGATTTATCTTCCTAAGCTATTTGACAATAGGATAGGTATAGCAAACTCCGGTTAGAATTAAGACACATTGTTTTAAAAGAAAACAGAAGAATGACTTCATTCCCTTTAAGACTGTAGAAAGAAATTAAAAATAAAACCACAACTCCCATAAACAGCACTTACAACTAGAGAATATAATTATGCTTAAATTAATCATGTAGTAAATTATAACTATGGAATTCTCATCTGATAGATTAAGAGGTTTTTCTTTGTCTCTGTTAAATAACCAGAAAAGAACCCTCCTAGATATTGTAACCATATAAATATTTCTAAATATTTCATGGATAGTTTGTGGCTAAGTGTATGAATTAACCATTCTGTTCGTCAAGATTCCAGTGCCCAGCATGGACAAAACCCATGTTTAAAACTGAGAGACAAACATAACATGGGTGCACCTACAATTTGCTAGTTCTTTGAATTTGATTTTCTAAAAACATTTCAGTCTCTGAATATAGAAGGATAACTCTTTAGATGATCTCCTCCCACAGATGTTTTAATTTCGCAGAAAAATACAATCTTCTGTGGAAGGATACAGGAAACTTCTCTATCCATCCTGGGACTAGAATCCCATGACAAGAGTCACTAGCTCATCATTCAAAAGAATGAATGCTCATCACATAAACACTGCTGTAGGCACCTGAGAAGAGGAGAATGAAGACAGACAAAACCCTATTACAGGCTACATCTTATAAAAATTTTATTTCATTAAAATATACCTAGTACGTATATTCCTATCACTATTTTTGCCCATGTACTTTTCTCAATGGCAGAAAGACTTTCCAATTAATTGTGGAAATAATACAACTATTTAAATAGCAAACCTCCCATTCCACCTTTCTTTTACACATTATTTTGGGGTTACTATGTAGAAAATATCTTAGCCAGCATTGCATAACATAAATCATACAAGATATTGGGCATTTTCACACCTAATTTGAACTGACAAAGAATCTTAACTAAAAGCCAGTTTAATGACTACATTGATCAGATCAATCAGACAACTGAACTGTATGTATTGAAGAATAAGTGAAATGGTCCAACCCTCCTGATGTAACACAGTAATGTGGTAGGAGGATATCAAATATACTCAGTAGAGCAGAAAAAGAAAAAAAAAATATATATATATATTTGTCTTGTTTTGCAAGCCAGACCTATAAATGGTATCAAACATTGTTTATCTTTTATATTTTTCAATAAAACAAGTATTGTCCCATGATACTAGTACCTCAAATTAAAATTCAAGTAAGGATTAAGTGGTTCTATATTTTCCTATGAGGGGGGAAAAGCTCAGAGGATAAAGGAAATGGAGTAGACAGCATTGTATCTTGTCTTCAGAAAGATACTTGATCTGTTATACCACAAATTCTTACAGAGAAATCAGAGAGGTGTGGATTATACCTAATTCCTTTAATATTGATACAAAATTCACTAAAGCAAACCAAACACATAAGACGATTAGTCATGGTGCAGCATCAGTTCTGAAAGTATTACCCACAGGGAATACCTTAGAGTCATTACCAAGTCAACACAAAATCTTACTAGTAAATGAAAAACAGAATAAATATATGATTGGCCAAACATATTCCAAATGGTCTGAGGTTCTCAAATGAAAAACATTGCAAGAAATTTAATAGGGACAAATAATATTCTAGCAAATAAAATACACTATATAACTTTTTTCATTTTCTAGCAAATTAAACTCCCATTAGAAGAGCATTTCAGGAAAAAAGTATTAAAAATAAAAGCACTGGAAATCACAAAATTGACAGGTTCTCAGTGTTTCTCCAACAAAGATTTTACTACTATTTTGCAGTTACTAAGGACAAAAGTCTTCAAAATACACATTTCAAAAATGTGTTTGATTTTAAAAAATACTGACCCTACTTATATTTGACACCAGTGACAGAGAAATCATTAGGCTATACTGAAGCAATAAATTTATGTATGATTTTTTTAACTTCCATACAAGTAAGAAAATGTTGTTGCCTGTGTTACATTTATCAGCATTATCTAGTTTTAGAATTTGCAACTCTATGACATTTTATAACACTGGAGATTATTAAGTTATTGATTTTTCTCCAAATCATCTCTATTTCTTGCCTATGTAGATGTCTACTCAGTACATATCAGTATATAATATATATTAAAGAATATATGTATAAAAATCTTAGAAAAAAAGGAAAAAAAGATAGGGTAATTTTATAACAGGAAGTTTTTTTTTTTTTTGCTTTTAGGGATTTAATCCAGGGACACTTTACCACTGACCTATATCTCCAGCCCTTTTTGCTTTTTATTTTGAGACAGTCTCACTAAGTTGCTTAGGGCCTCCTTAAGTTTCCAAGGCTGGCCTCGAACTTGTATCCTCCTTCCCGAGTTACTGGGATTACAGGTGTGAGGCCAGAAGGAGGTTGATTTGTTTCTGATGAAGTAGACTATGGATCATAACATCCTCAGCAATAAACCCTCTGCAATGTGAAAGCACACATTATTCACTATACAAGTCAATTCAATGTTTGTCTATGAATACTTGGAGCTTTATCAGAATCCCAGTTGTTTGAAAAGGTATTAATTTTAAACAAGAAAACTAGTCCTAATTATTTTTTAAATAGACTAGAGAGTACTTTTAAATATGGGAAATAAGTTAACTTGAGTAACCTTAATTACAATACAAGGAAAATAATGGTTTAAATAAATTTTTCATTTATTTTTGGAGAAATAAATGAAAAATAATAATCTAAAATTAAGATACCAATTTTAACTTAATGTAGATAGTTCTAATGAATTATTAGATTGTTCTCATATAGTTTAAAGATTCCTTTATTTCAAACTTTTATTATTGGGACCAAGATTAATTATTATTGTCAGAAGCATAGAGTCACTTGATGATTTTGCCAGAGCATTCTATTGAAGCAATGCCTGAGGCTGAAAATCCCCCCAGAGAACTTCATGGAGGAAGGTGGGCATTAAGAGGTAAGACCCAAGCCTCTCCTGCTCTTAGTGGATCCCACCTGTTATCAAAGGGCTCCCCTGAGATCCACTACAGTATGGTCTCCATAACCAGTAGCTCAGGAAGGTAGCAGGATGAAACTCAGGACAAATTGCTTTTTTTACAGGGCAAATAGAGTCATCTGTTCAAGATGATTTGGTATGAAAAATAACCCATATGAGAAGCATTGAACAATGTCTTAAAAGTTCTACTTATTTTGTGAATAAAAAATATGGAAACAAAGGGAAATAAATTTTTAAGTAATATCCAAAGCAAACACATAGCATTATATGTGATCATATATTATCTAGTTCTCTGTCTTTGTCAAATGGTTTAGGCCAAGAATGATAATGATAAACAATTATTTTAAATTAACAAATTTAGTTTAGAAGCAACAAAATCAGCTGGACCTGAAACAAGTCAAAAGTTTAGGATGTATTTAATTGTATAACATAAGAATAGAAATTAATGGGTCAAATAGTTGGTTGAGAAAGTGCTATTAAAACCAAAGTCCAGGAGTCTGCAGTATTTAATAGTCATCCATAAACATGTCTAGCTTACTGAGAATTTATTAAGAGCAGTTTTTACATGGAGATAGGGCAAAAGTTAAGGTCTAATGGGAATCCACAAAAAAAAAAAAAAGATTCTTCTGATAGACATTGGTAAAATTTTAGTATGAAAAAGTGAGAGCATTTTCCTATGAGTATGCATTTCTGGACATTAAAATTTTCATTTGGAGAAAAAAAACTTTTTTTTTTTTTTTGCATTCTTTACAAACTCAAAATATTACCAAGGTTTGTTTCTTTGAAGGGGAAGATGTACAAAATTTTCTAATGGTTGGTGCCCTCTAATGGTCAGATACTTGAATGATTTATCTGATGAATGCATGCCCAATTTAGTTTATGTGTGTGTGTGTGTGTGTGTGTGTGTGTGTGTGTGTGTGTGTGTGTGTGTGTAGCCCCACAAGTGTATATTTAACATAACAGTTATTGTGTATTAGCTCCCATACCAATAAAATGTGGAAAGAATTTATTGTCAAAATGATTTTTAAAAGAGTTTATTGTAAAAATTATTTTATTATCAATAATTATAATCTCTAACTAGAAATGAAGATATTTAGCAAGTGTAGTGTGAGCCGGGAAAATGTTATGAAATAGTATAATCAGCATTTTCTAAAACAGTAGAATTCACCTAAAGTAATCATGTTTAAAAAATAAATGAGAAAATTTCTTGATTAGAAATAGTATTTTGATAATTTTAGTAAATGTTGGTAAATCTGTATTAGGGACCAATTAAGAATCTTCACTTGCTTAGAATTTCCTTTGATTACAAACAGTTTGTTAATAGGCATTGAGAATATAAAAATTCGTATGAAAACTACTTTTGTGAAAAAAATTCCACCATAAACAATGTGGTTAAACAACACTAAATGTGTTCATTTTAAGTTATGACTTCTTTAGGTTTTGCCCAAATTCATTGTAAGTTCCTAACAGACTAAAACTTCATATATGTCTTTATCTTGTTTGATATTTGGCTACTTTTATAATGAAGTATGCTATAAGTTTAATGTTCTGGAGAACATATATTCAGAGCAAATTAGGCAAGAGTTTAAAAAAGAAATAATGCTGGGACTGGAGTTGTGGCTCAGATGTGGAGCTGTGGAGCGCTTGCCTAGCATGTGCAAGGCCCTGGGTTCAATCCTCAGCACCACATAAAAATAAATAAATAAAATAAAGGTATTGTTTCCAACTATAACTAAAAAATAAATATGAAAAGGAAATAATGTTAATTAAATATAAGCCAAATTGCTTTATTTTTACCAATTCAATAAAATTGATAAGTTATCAAAAATATCTCATTAACTCCCTAAAAGAGATACTCTTACCATCTGGAGGAGTGAATATGGAAAGATTTGACTTGGGTCCAACCCCTGCACTGGTTTCAGCAGCAACATAGACATCATACAGTGTATATGGTGTTAAGTTAGTGAATGAAAATTTAAGGTCTTTTGTGCTATTATCCAAAATACGACCTACAAAAAAGCAGAAGATGCCTATGGATTATTTTTTGTCAAGCATGTAATCATTCTCATTTTTACATATAGAGCCAAGGACAATAATCAAAGTGTTAATCTATATAGTAACATTTGTTATTATAATATTAAAAGTGAATGAATATATTTTAAACATTTAGCTTAATTGTAGATTGATACTACTTTAACTAAAACAATAAAAAAAATCATGAAAATAATCCAGTGCTTAAAATTACTTTTATTGTCATAAAAATCTGTTGAATACCATGTTATTTTGGACATATTTAAGAGAAACACCAGATTTTATCAACATAAAAATAGTGACAGTATTTTATATTCAATTTATTCAATGTCAATGCTAAATTTTCTGTAAGAAGATATCTTTTCTGGAAGAAGATATATTTTGAAAATATTTCTAGCTTAACTTATGAACAAAATTTTTGAATAGTCAATCAGCAGAACTCCTTAAATCCTCAACTTTACCTCTGATTATTTCCTTCACTTTTTTCTCTAATTGAAACCTGCCTATTCTCTAAGCACACTTGCTTCTGTTCCTCTGTAGCCACTCACAAACAGTGGCAGTCTATTTTTTTCACCACAGGTCTCATGATTAGGCTTCAGGTGTGAGAGATATTCTACCTGTTCCTTACTGACCCACCTGGGACCACTCCTGCTGCCTCCTTATGAACCCCACAGCTTTAAACCCCACATCATCAATGACATCTCCTAGCCCTCCAGGTCTTATTTTAGGTGGTTTAGCTCTTGGTTGAATGCTGCCATTTTAATTTGTGGTGATATTAATATCCTGAAAGGTGATCACTAAATCATGTTGACTTCTCCATAATACATCTACATCCTATCTCATCCTATCTCAGCTACTTCTTCTAGGCCGTAAATTAGCACCACTACCAATAACTAAAAATTATTCATTAGCTGTATTCCATGCAACTGTTTTTGACCACTTTTCTGTATCTCTTCTTCACGTATTCTAGGACCTGAAACAACAATTCTCTAAATGCACTGGAATTTCCACTTCAATCCCTTTATCTTACTACCTATTTTATTTTTCATTTTGTTTAGTCACCATTTGATGCTTTATCTAGCCTCAATGTCATAGTCAAATGCAATGGCTGCCTTATAGAAATTCTCATTTCCCTTAAACTTCCCTTGTTGAAGGAACTGAAGAAAAGCACAATAAATACCATTTCAACTGATCCTATATTGTTATATTTTTTGATCCAATTCCTGGATTAGATTCCATTCCATTTAAAAAGATGTTAACTTCTGCCTATGCAATCATCATTCCAACAATTCTCATCTTTCCTATTTTCTTTCTTTTCAGCAAACAAACATGGTTTATTTGTTCCTAATAAAAAAATCTGTTGACTCTGATCACCCTACTCATACTTCCCACCTGCATTCATGACTTCACTTTGCAGCAAAACTCAAGAGTGTCTATATCCTCTGTTTCAATGATCTTCTCCTATTCTTTCTGAAACCATTTCAATGGTTTCAGGGTGGAGTATCACCATAATTGCTCTTGCCACAATCACTAGTGATTTCATGTTGCTAACTGCCATAGTTGCTAAATGCATCTTAAAATATCAGCCAGTCTAAAAAGGAGAAAGCTTCCCTAAGTAAAGTTGTGAAAATTAATATCATATAGAAAATATGTATCAGAAAACTATCATTTTTTAAGGAACCACACATATTTCAGAATTTTAGAAACATAAGTTACTGAAGGATGAAAAATAGAGGTTGCTTATGTGCTTCATACCATAGGAATTTCAAAATGAAATGCTTTGGAAATTTGGATCTTTTTTGATTGTTCCAAATAATAACAATATGTGGATTTGTGTTGTTTCATCATTGTTTGAAGGAAATTTCTTTCATAGAACAAAAGGTTCTGAGATTAAGAAAGAATTTTAGAGTTTCTTTAATTCATGTCCCACAGTACAATATTTGAACTCCCTAAATTATTTGTAGCAAGTGATGAGGTCCTGTTTGTTTTCAATGGATAAACTGTCATCTTGTGACGTTTCCCAAATTATTATTTTTAATAGACTTCATTTTCAGAAGTGTTTTAGGTTAACAGTGAAGTTGAGCTAAAGGTATAGAGAATTCCCATGTAATTATCAAAGCACAATGATGGTTCAAAATTAGATTCATTATCCTAAGTAGAAATTTGATTTAATATAATCTAAACCCATTGTTCTTCATGGATATAAATCAAGGTCTTGGACTAGGGCTGTAGCTCAGTGGTAGAGCTCTTGCCTAACATGCGTGAGGCACTGGGTTTGATCTCCAGCACCATATAAAAATAAACAAATAAAATAAAGGCATTCTTCTATCTACAACTAAACAAAAATTTCTTAAAAAAATAAGTCAAGGTCTTCTTGTTTAAATACCTTGAAGGGTCATATCTCCTCCAATGCTTCCTTTCTTGGGGAGTAGTCTCTAGTTCCTTTACCTCCACATGAATAGTGGAGGTAAAGGAACTAGAGTTAGACTCACTTATGGTTTTAAGCAAAAAAGTCCAAAGGACTTCCTTGTTATTTTTTTATATTTTCCTCAGGTTTAGGGTTTTTTAAAAGGAGGTTGGTAGTTTTTAAATGTTTGATACTAGTAATGCATTTAACAATTTTTACTCCAAAAGGTAAACACAAAATCAATTAAGACTTACCTGACACCCCATATAATTCAACTCTATAACTAAACTTCCCTGTTACTACACTTGGTGGGTCCCACGAAATTGAAAAGGACTTTCCTGTAACATTGCCCGCTATACAGTTTTGTGGTGGTCCTTCAGGCACTGAAATTATTATAGAAAAAATGAACATATAATACATATTTTAAACAAAGGAATATCCTATTAAATACACATAATAAGACATAAAATCAAGGAAAAAATGTAATAGCAAAACGTTTTTTAACATACAGGAAAAATAGAGTATAATTAAAGAATTTGAGTAAGACTTGCTGAATCATTAGATTAACTTGTAAATATACAACAATTACTAATTTTATTTAGAACTGTGTGTGATTTCACATGTAATTTCATTCTTATATTCACTATAACATTCATAGTAAATGCTACATTGTCATCAAATATATATACCTGCATATATATCTTATTTGACAACATCTGAATATCTGCTGATGAACATCTTCTGTTGGTTGGATAGGTGAAAGGATCAAAAAAATAATCCTCAGAATTTATTGGCAATGATCTTTACTATTTAGTACCAATATCTGTCTTTGGTTCTGAGAGAAAATTTACAACCTACTGTTATAAGATTCAACTGTAATACTCATATAAAAGTAATAATGACATTTTAAAATATCTAATTTTCACAGCTATTTCTATATCTTATTCTCTTTTAAATGAAATTAAACAATTACAAGTGTTTATTCAAAACAAAATTCTTGTTTACAGATTTTATTTTATGTACTACTAATGAAATTTTTTTATATCTTAAAAGAAGTAACAAGTATAGGGTTGGGGTTGGGGTTCAGTGGTAGAGCGCTTGCCTAACATGTGTGAGGCTCTCAGGACTGCATACAAATAAATGAATAAAATATAGGTTCATATATCTAAAAAATATTTTTTTAAAAAAGTAACACATATAGACAAAGGAAAAGATTTGATTCAGAGATAATTATTTAAATTAAGAAAAAGTAATTTCAAACTTATGTATGATAGAAAATAATAGAAGCTGACAACAATATCACTAGGAAAAAAAGAGTATCCTTTAGTGAAATTATCCTGCTAATAATTTCCAGTATACACAAAAATTAATAACTGCAACTGAATTCCTGTTACTATATTATGACATACATAATATATCAGACATTTATTATGTATATGATATGTAAACTATATATATATCAATATTATGATATGTATGTGTATTCACGTAAACATCATATCATATCAAGCATCTACAATGTAGATAATATGTATGCTAATGTGTAAATATTATGGTACTATGTCAGTAACCATATAAACTTATATACATATATTCAAGTATATAAATACTCAAACTTAAGAAATATGTCCTCTTAGAATTTATTTAATCCTAACACCATTATTTAATCCTAACAACACATTCAAACTGAAGTTACTGTTTCCATCTCCATTTTTCAGATGAGAAAACTATCCTGCAAAGAGGATATAAGTAGGTATATATTTGAGCCACAGCTTTAATCTGATACTGAATGGTAATCACATGCTAGTTCTGCTATTGCAGGTATTACTTCTACATCAGATAACACCCATAACATATTAAAGATGATTTAGAAAGGCAGAGTTGATTGTGAAAAAATTGCTGAGGTCATAGAATGATAAATGCTGACCATTGGATCATAGTTAGCAGCTGAGGAATCCTTCATTTCAAATCTTTGTTTTGTTTTGTTTGTTTTTTTACATACTTAGTTTAGTACCATAATATAAAAGAAAATCAAAATTTTTAGATACTGCAGATGGGATGTTTATTATCTATTACCAGAGGAAAAACAGTTACGAAAAAGTAAAGAAGGTTAACAAAATAATCTAAATGGAAAACAGGAAAGATTATTTCATAAATAATTTAAATATTTTTTCTAACCAAATGAAAGCATACCTGATTCTGGTGTTCTGACAATGGTACTATCAATATAACCTGCTTCAGTTGTAACAGCTGAAACTTCAAAAAGATAGGTTGTGTAAGGTCTCAAATGTGTCACTACAAAACTGATAGGCTCTTTCCACACAGAGCTGATCCTACTCCTCGTCAACGAGCTCGATGTATATGTGGTACGCTGTGGAGGCGTGACTCTACCAAGGGTTGGAGAAGGACTGGAGGTACTCCACAGAAAAGAGTCACTGTTCTCCTGGTGAGTAAAATGAACACCAATAGGAAAATAATGTGATATCACTGGGTAAACACACAAAAATATCACTCCTGTCTTTTTCCTTTATATTCCAAATATTGATTGTCTCTGTGTGTGTGTGTGTATGTGTGTGTATGTGTGTGTATGTGTGTGTGTGTTTGAGAGAAAGATTTTAGAAGATTATATTATGGGTAAATTTGCTATATGGTAATTAGTCCACTTATGTCTACAATTTTAGAACACAATATATGTATTATATTCTTTATACTTTAATCTTTCTTATGGGTAGGATTAAAAGTGGTTTAAAATAAAGGTAAAACTATAGTAGAAATGTTGAAAATTCATGTTAACAGTATAAGAGCCAAAGAGCTAAAATAATTTTAAGTATAACCACTTTATAACTGTTAACATCATTTTTTTTATCATAAATCCTCAAAATATACCACTACTAAAACATGTTAGGTGTGACCATATGTGCATAGGCATGTGTGTGTATTAGAAATGTATCATAATTTGAAAACGAAGAGTTTGAGATTTCTACAAATGATTTTTAAAAAATTGTTTTGTTTGAATGTTTCTCCATCAGTAATACCTCAATAATCACCAAAATGATTTTAGGAAAAGCATTATTATAGTACTTCTTGATGATTCTCTTTGATGATTAAAATGACAAATTATTTTTGTTTCGTTTTATTTTGTGTGATACTAGGGATTGAATCCAGGGCTTTGTGAACCCTAGGTTCACAAAGTGTTCTACCACTAAGCCACACCCCCAGGCCTAAAAAAAAATTTCTTTCCACAAGGTATACACTATAAAAACTAAATCTAACTCTTGCCAATTAATCCTTGCAAACTAAATTTCCTACATGTACAAATATAACCATTCCTCCAATCATCTTACTCATTTCCGCCTCAGGGACTTAAAATATGTCCTCTGCCTGGAAGAACTCCCTCACAAATCTCCATTTAACCTTTCTACATGCTTATCCCAAGGTGACTTCTTTCAGAAAGTTTTATTCCAGAGCTTCTTTATTTTAGTACAGAGGATAAAACTCAGGCGTACTCAAGCACTGAGTCACATCCCCAGCCCTATTTTGTATTTTATTTAGAGAAAGGTTCTCACTGAATTGCTTAGCACCTCGCCCTTGCTGAGGCTGGCTTTGAACTCACAATCCTCCTGCCTCAGCTTCCTGAGCCTCTGGGATTTCAGGCATATGCCACAGCACTGGTTTATTCCAGAGCTTCTCAAGAGCTTTTCATCTTTCTCCCAATTGCCTCCAATGATTCGTATAGATAAATGTGTGTCACATTACACTATGGCCTAGTAGTATGAGTAATGAGGTAAAAATAAGCACTTTGGTGAATTATATAGTATCCAGATGCCAAACACTTCAAAACAAACATTCACCTAAAACTTCCAAGGCACAGAAAGTGTTCCAAAATGCTTACATTACATTCTGGGAGTTTCCCAGTCAAGATGTCTTCTACTCTGACAGAGACGTCTTTCACTACTGTCCCACTCCTGGCATGTTTGACACTAATCTTGAAGCTGGTAATTCTGCCATTTGGTTGCCGAGGTAAATACCAAATCAAGTTTACTGCTGAGTAGTTGAAGGCCTCAACTGTGAGATTGACCACTTTTCCTGGAGCTGGGTGAATGAAAGGGATTGAAGAAAGGTAAAAGACACTGTTACAAAATTTAGAATGGCATTTATATACCTTCAGGATGTTAAATTTCCTTGCATTATGAAATTAAACATAAAAACAAATTGAATGGTCTACTTAAGTATAACTTCTAAAATTTAATTTGCTTTAGCCTAAAATTTTAAAAAATCCATTACTTCACCATTATTGAATGAATACATGCATTGGCAAAATAGTTCAAACAAATATGATATAATATTCAATCTATAGTTATTTGTGAATATACAAAAAAGAACAAATTTCTTACTTCCTTAAATATATTGGAATTATGTATACTAATTAGATGTTGAATCAAGTGGCAAATTGAAACAATTACCCAAACATTTGCACCAGAACAACAGGACTGTTATAAAATATGTAGTACCTAACATCAAGTAGATAGATAACCGACCAATAGTTTGTGACTATTGTATGTTGAGTTTTATATACCTCAAATTTGGCTTTCTTTAGAATTATATCATACTTTGCATTTAATCATTAATTATAATAATAATCTGATAAATGGGCCAAAGACATGAACAGATACTTCTCAGAAGATGTTATACAATCAATCAACAAATATATGAAAAAATGTTCATCATCACTAGCAATTAGAGAAATGCAGATCAAAACCTCTAAGATTTCATCGCACTCCAGTCAGAATGGCAGCTATAATGAAGACAAACAACAATAAGTGTTAGCGAGGATGTGGGGAAAAAGATACACTCATACACTGCTGGTGGGACTGCAAATTGGTGGAGCCAATATGGAAAGCAGTATGGAGATTTCTTGGAAAACTGGGAATGAAACCACCATTTGACCCAGCTATCCCTTTACTTGGTCTATACCCAAAGGACTTAAAAGCAGCATACTATAGGGACACAGCCACAATTATAGCAGCACAATTCACAATAGCTAAACTATGGAACCAACCTAGATGCCCTTCAATAGATGAATGGATTAAAAATGTAGCATATATACACAATGAAATATTACTCAGCAATAAAAGAGAATAAAATCATGGCATTTGCAGGTAAATGGATGGAGTTAGAGAAGATAATGCTATGTGAACTTAGTCAATTCCAAAAAACCAAATGCCAAATATTTTCTTTGATATAAGGAGGCTGATTCATAGTGGGATAGGAAGCAAGAGCATGGAGGGAATAGACGAACTCTAGATAGGACAGAGGGGTGAGAGGGGAATATGATGATCATTATTATTCAAATTACATATATGAAGACACAAATTGGTGTGAATATACTTTGTATACCACCATAGATATGAAAAAAGTGTACTCTATATGTGTAATAAGAATTACAATGCACTCCACTGTCAAATATAAATAAAAGAAAAAGAAAAATAATAATCTGAATACTATTTTAGTTGGATGAGATCAGTATGAAGCCAAGATGAAGGAAAATTATGTCCATTAATTTAATGGTAAGATATATAAAGATATTATTCACTCTCTAGTAAATAATCAAGATCCTTCAGCTGGGCAAGATGGCAAGCTTATAATCCTATCGGTTCCAGAGGCTGAGGCAGGAGGATTGAGGTCAAAGCCAATCTCAGCTACTTAGTGAGGCCCTACGTAACCCAGCAAGACCCTGTCTCTAAATAAAATATAAAAAGAGTTGGGGATGTGGCTCAGTGGTTAAGTGCCTCTGGGTTCAATCCTTGGTACAAAAAAAAAAAATCTTCAACAAATAGAACAAATGTGATAAGTCACTTTGCAAAGAAACCAAAACCAAACCTTAGAAGTAAAACAATGTATGATGGTAAAGGTGACTAATATCATGATGCCAAATAAGTAGAGTTTAGGTTTGCACTATAGTGAAGAATGCCAGGATATAACTTAGAAATAAAAGCTGCATGAATCATTTGAGGTGTACTAGGAAGCTGGGCCCTGTTGTGAACTAAATGTTAGTCAGTAGGAATGAAGAAACTTGAAGACGCTGCATTTTAGTGGAAAAAAATAAAATACAAAAATTATTGAGAACGATTACTAAAGGATGAAATAATGGAAGAAAATTTTATGTCTAAGAGGAATTGATAAAAATGGAATTAAAATGTAAGAAGTGTAATGACAATATGGTAATTCTCTGATACTAAAGATTTAACATTTGAATTTCTCTGGAGTAAGTAAAATATAATATAACAAAAAGAAAAATGTTAAATATATGATGCTGTGAAACTGCAAAATTAAAATTTTATCATGATTATTAATCATATTTAAATTTTCTTATTTGCATAATCTATGCATTTAAGTATTCCTGAAATAGTTATATATCAATAACAAATTATATATGAGCTAACAATAAATCTTAACAACAGTCATAAAGAACTAATCAAATTCAATTAAATCTGAAAAGCAATATCTACTAAGTAAGATATTTCTATTAACTTGTTTTATTTTTGCCTCAGAAAGACATATCTGGTGTATTTTCCTTTGTGATTTTATGGTGTTTGAAGATTAATTCCAACTCTTTTCTATGGTTGGCAGTCTTTCCCTATTTTAAATATTCTAGTTTTTACTTCTCAATTTTATGCATCAGAATTTCATTACTTCTTGATTATTTATAGGGTGAATTTATCCATCTTTATCCAATTAAAAATTTAATACTGTATATGGGCTGGGGTATGGCTCAGTGGTAGAGCATTCGTCTAGCACGTGCAAGGCCCTGGGTTAGATCCTCAACACCACATATAGATAAAAAAAAAAATAAAAGATATTGTGTCCAACTACAACTAAAAAATAAATATTAAATTTTTTTTAAATTTGATACTGTATAGATGTTTTAGCACACACCTGAATGAAGTGTATAGACTGCAGACATGCAAACATACACAAGCATGTGAAAGTATCTCCAACTTTCAAAGTATAATCTGTATAAAACATATCTTTTGAGTCATTAAGAACTTTAAAAATCTTCACAGAGCTTCAAAGTGGTTTTTTTGCATTTCCATTAGATAACAAGGTGCAAGTACTATTTTTAATATTTACCTGAAATGATATTGCACAAAAAATTAAATGTTGGGGTTTTGGAGCTCATGGATGGAATAATATCAATTCAGTATAGGATCACTGGTTAATCTATATTTTCCTCATAGAAAGACAAATTACTTATAATTTAACAATAATAAATGCCATTTATTCCATAAGAATCTTCCTTAAATTTGTGTTTAATGGAACACAAATAACAAAAACAGGTAATTGCAAGAAATATATTGGTGATTTCTGGTATAATTGAACATCTTCAAATTAAAAAATAAGCATTAAGTCAGAAAAGAGACTCTTGTTCTAGCATTACTTTCACCATATCCTAGAGTTCCTCTACTTTTTCCCAATCATCAGTTGCCTGAGAGAGAACATCCCTAGAAATTAGGTTGATTAATGGAAGTACAAAATACATAGGGATCAAACTCTGTCAAATTGAAGTTATAGTCTGCTTGTACCATCTTCTAGCAGGAATCAAATCAAGATCAAGATTAACAAAATAAAACTAAATTCTATATCATTCAAAAATCATTCCAATTATTTCCCCTAAAATTGAAAACTGACAGATTTTTTTCTCTTATATCCTACTGCCCACTTAGTTTTAAAGTGATACTTATTCCATTTTATCTTTAGTTGTACAGATAATCTGAAAGTCTCTGTTTAAAATCAACAGGAGTTAGACATCAAGAATCATTCATTTCTAATTTTAAATATTCTCCAAGTTCCCAACCCCAGTAATCTCTCATTACTCCTTCAAAGGAATTCAGCATCTGTTCACAGGCTTCTCCTGATGAGGTCTCAACCAGGAACTAGATCATAAAACTTACGTTTTTTTTTAACCCTGACTACTGTATCCTATTAAATACAAAAGGCCCATATAAACTTATCCTTTTGGCAGTGGACCATCAGAAGGTTTTTATCTGTTGACATATAGAACATTCAGGATTATATAACATTACAGAAATTGTTCTACAGAACTTTTCGCCCACCTGACATATTACTTAGTAATACATGTATTTGTTTATCTTATCCCCCTAGAATATAAGCTCCATGGTGAACATTTGTTGCTGAAAGAAGAGGCCATAAGTTATGTAGTCATTCTTCTATATATTTGGTTCTAACAATTTGCTATTATAAATAAATAAAAGCACCTGCCTTTAATAACAACTTATTTTTATAACAAAGCTTATATTCTGGGATAATATATATAATAAAAATATATAAGTGAATGTGTAATGTTTCAGGTTGATTCAATGGAAAAAATATATATTTGTTGGAAATAGAGTCAGAAGGAAATGAGGGTTATTCTACAAGATGCAGCCAGAAAAATAACACATAAGATCTGCATTAGCTTGAGGAGAGAGTTCTATGGATATTTAGAGAAAGCACATCCCAGATAGGAGGAAGAGCAAGTGCAAAGGTCCTTTAGATGGAAGATCAGTGTGATTGAAGCAGATGGGGAGACAACAGGAAATGAGCAAGTTAGAAAGAAGAAAAAGCATGCAAACAGGGAAAGGATACAGGGTTTCATTCCTAATGCCATGTAAGGAAAACAGAAGTAACATAATCTGGCCTATGTTTCAAAAGATGATGCAGCTCCTGTGGCGAGAGTTTGGCTGCAGGCAAGCAAGTTGGATACAGGAAGATCAGTAAGGAGTTTTTCAATCATTCAGGCAAGAAAGTTGGTTGGAAAGGGTAATTAGCAATGAAGGGAAGATTCCGGATATTTTTTGATGATAGTGCTGACAGGAGTTGCTGAGATTAAATGTGTAGTGTGAGAGAAGAGTCAAGCATGACATCAAGAGTCTTCCTCTCAGCCATTGGAAGAATTGAAGCAGTCTTAAACTGGTTTGGTAATGACTGCATGTCATGGAATGAAATGATAACCATTAAAATTCATATTTCCAAAAATCTAATGTCACAAAATGCTTATAATTTAATATTTACAGGAAAAGACAGGATATAAACTTATATAACTTGTACAAGCTAATTTTCATTAATCATATATTCATACTGACATGTACTCAAGGGGAAAAAAAAGATCAGCCAGAATTGTACTAAAGTAATAATAGGGATTTTTCGGGATGAAAGGAGTATTTATAAATTTCATTGTGAGTTTTCTTCTTATTTTTAAAAAATTTCCAAGATAACATTTAATTGACTTCTATAATCAGAAAGAATACATAATTAATGATTAAATTAACTATTATAAGAAATTAAAAGTAATGGAGTAGCCATGCTATTGAGAATTTTATACATTTGAGCATGATATTTTGTTTATATCCCCATTTACTTTGACTGAAACTCATGACAACATTATTTCAAAATAAATCATTTAGAAAAATGATTTACCACTTTCTGCAGTCTGGAAAAGAAAGGGATCGCTAAATACTCCAATTCCAGCACTGTTTTCAGCAGCAACCTAAAATAAATCAAAAGGATTACATTCAAATTTTTGCTCTCCAATTAATAATAATCAGAAATAAAACTCAGACTTGACCATAGAGTAAATAACCAAATTGTCTTTTCCTCTAAGTATTACAAAATTTCCAAGGCAAATATAGAGCTATCCACAAAATCAAAACAGGAGACACAATTGTCAATATTTTATAGATGAGGACACTGGTCAAGTCAGGTCAACAACCTGCCCTTGGTCACAGAGGAATAAATGGTAGAACAAGAATTGATTGAAAGTTGCATTTTTTCCATAACTCAATCTTTGTCCACTATATACACTATATACATGAAACTATGATTATTTCTGTGATAAATATAAGACACCATTTATACTGTATTTGAATTTAGTTTACTCTCTACTGGGCAAATAAATACTGATGAAAAATATTTGTAAAATAATGAATATATTTGATTAATAATTATACTGAATATAATATATATTCTTTTTAATGAATAATAGTCAAATAGACTTGAACAATGCAATCAAATAGACATCAGACTTGAATAATGTAGTCACATAATAAACTTAATAGTAGGCAGAAAAGTATATCATAAATGAGAATACAACTCAAGTTTTTGCAAAATGTCATCATTGCAACAAGACAACATTGGTTTAATTGTAGCTATACCAAGTCTCAGATGACTAACATTGGGCAGTTTACTTAACTATTCAAAGGCACATTGTTCTCATCCTTAAATTGGAATAATAATGTACTTAAATCATAAGAATGTTCTAAGACTAAGCTAAATAACATATGTAAAATACATAACAGGGTTTCCCCACAGTGTTGCTTATACTGAAGCTATCAAATGTACCATGCCAAATACCCATTGGAATTCTGCAATGGCTAACATTTATTTGAACAGAGTAAACGTCACAATGATGATTTATAAAGTGAGAGATGAAACAAACAGTAGGGGCTGCCCTATAGGCCTGAAATAAGAGAATTCAAAGGAATAAAAATTCAGCCTCTATAAAAATAGATCTAAATAGAACTAAGCTAGTGATATCACTTTTTTCTCAACAATAGTTACTTATTTCACATTAAATTTAATATTTATTACACCAAGTAGCATATTTTAAACATAAGTTAACCTGAATATGTGCATGTTCCAAGAAATACCTACATAATGTAATTTTCAGAGGTCAAAAAAGATTGCCTATTCTTTAACTTATGCTTCTACATGAAACAGCTATCACATTTTTTTTTATTTTGACTTCTGCATAAACAAAAGTTTACTTATTTACTTTCTCACTGGAAAAATCCTACTATGGGCATGTGCTCTCCAGTTCAGTGTTCTTAATTCCAGAAATAGGCATGTTTCCAATAAGGAAAACTTTCTGGCAAAATCTTGCCCATCATTTCTTCCCATCTAAGAAGAGCATCTCAGTTATATATGATCACATATTTAGCTTTCACAGATTTTCCTCTATGTATTCAATTATATTTAAGTCTCAAAGAACATATGGGTATTATGTTGAAAATAGTAGGAAGACAAAAAAATCTCTATTCTTTACTAGCCCTTGGAAATGTCATAGATATCCCTTAACTGCAAATATTTTCATATGGCCTTACTAATTCGGATTGCTTTTTATAAGCTCTTTTTTATTTAGTATTCAATTAAGAAGCTGTTAGATTTTACATATTTAACATTGTAAAGAATTTAAAATGTCCATAAATACAAAACACATAGTAAATGCTGAACAAATATGTGTTGAATGAAATTGAATTGAATTTATTATTTTTAGTAAAACTAGCTCTTTAGAAGCTCTTAAACCAATATCCAAAATTTCAAAAATATGTATGCAAATGCAAAAGGGCAAGGAAAAAAATAACAGAGCTAACATTAAGTTTAATCAAAAAGTACTATATTTTCAGACTAGGGATATAGCTCAGTGACAGAGTACTTGCCTAACATGCATGAGGCCCTGGATTCAAACCCCAGCACCAATTAAAAAAAAAATGAGAATATTGTCACTTGTAAAGCCCAAATTGCTTAAATTAAACTTCTTTGCCATAAAAGGCACTGAACTAAGCTCTTTAAAACAAGTGTTGTATATAAATGTACCTATAAACTGAAATTAAAAGATATTACAACAAAGTTTTAAAATCTCAGGTGGATGTTGAGGCTGTTGACTCAGTTTCTCATTCTTCAATCACTGCATCAAGATGCAAGTCTTGACCAGGTGGAAAAAAACCTACTTTATTTTTAAAATGAATAAAATATTAAGTAGTTATTTATAAAATAATTACCTTAATTTCATATGTTGTTCCAGGATTAAGGTTAGTAAGAAGAACTTCCAGACTGTCTGGCTTTGCCCTGACTTGTGTGTACACGGTTTGCATCCAAGGGCATACCTCCTTATATTTAACAATGTAAGATATAATTCTTCCATTCGGGTTAGGTGGTGTGTTCCAAGAAAGAAGAATCCCAGCAGATCCAACTCTCTCCCCAGCTAGAAAGACTGGAGGACCTGGTTCTATTTTATTAAAAAATTAATTTTGTTAAAAGGTCAAACTATTATTGTATTTCCATCCCCCAGAAAATAGCAAGAAAAGTATTTACAAATGTAAACTACCAAAGTTCCCAAAGGTTAATATTAATTTATATTCCCTAGAGCTCTGCTACATAAATAAATACTTTAATAAAAGCTTTGCAGAATACCAAAAACATTCTTTAATAAGAATGCAAAAAATGTAATGCTACTAAATACTGCATGCCAAATACCCCTTTGATGCCAAATCATTTTTAAAAGAAACTTACTGATTGCAAGGCTTACGCACAAGAACCAAACAAACAAGAAACAGCTTTAAAAACTGAAAAATCCTTTCTGAGCAAGAGCACTGAGCTTAATTTCATGGCTCTGTATTATTTAAATGTTACCATCAACAGTCTCTGATCCATTTCACAAACAGGTATAGAGTAATCATCTTTGCTCTTTAAAGGTAAAGGAAGCTAAAGAACCAGAAGAAAGCAGGTTAACAGATCACTTTCTTAAGTTTCCATTTTGCTTTAATTATTCTAAACTGTTTGCATGCATATAACACTCATACTAGAAATATAAGTCTATTCATGCAATTGAGTTTTACTGACTCCAAATATTTCATTAAAAAGTGATTTTAAAACTATATACTCACTTGTAACATTTGTTGTCACTGTTCTACTAACAGGTGAACTATATGTTGCAGCAGAAATAGAAGAGATGGTTGTGTCATACCTAGTATTAGGAACAGCATCAGAAACATCAACCTAGAATACCAAAACCAAATAATCTTTATTAAAATTATTCCTGAAAAGTGAGCTAAAATAATAAATCTATTACTGCCAAAACATTAGCACTTCACCACATAACTCTGCACAGTTTAAAATATCACAAAACTTCCATATTATTTTAAAATATAAATTTGTTATGTCATGTAACTATTTACCAGATAAACTTATAAAAAAACAATTTTACAGAGCATACTGAATCATCAAAGCTTAAATCAGTATTTCTATCTATACCAGTTCATTGTCTCAAGGAACAACTATTTAAGAATCTCTTAAAATTCTACAACCTGTTGCTCATGCCTGGCTTTTAAGAGTATATAAAATACCTGTGTCTCTGAAGTTCCAATAAAAAATAAAAGAAAAATGATAAGAAAATCCATCATTATTACATTTTTCAGGCAGTACAATCACATTGATGGCTCTAGAGAGAAATGTTGCCTGCATTAATGATTTAAAGACAGATCCTCCTGGCAAGTATACAATTAATGAGCCTGGATTACTCAATAGCTCTGCCCTTTCTTTGTTAAACTATTCATGAACTCTTGGATGGCTGGCTGTAGGTTCAGGGTAGACTTGAAAAAAAAAAAAAAAACGTAGCTGTTGCTAAGGTAACAGTCAACCAATGCTGAAACTGACACTCATCAATTCAACATTGTTTTTGTCTTCATCTTATGCTTTTGAAAACACTCCAAGGAGTAAGTTTTCAGACTGGATGAATTTCATAAAGAACCTTACTACTAGGTCCAAATATAAATATAAGCAGGCTGGCCAAGTACGAAATAATGAAAACTATACCTGATATTCTCCACCTCCAAGATCTTCGATAGTAACAAAGCCACTGTCAGGAACAAGATCCACATGATACCTATCCACATGGTTGGAGGGCAGGCTCCAGCACAGAGAAAAGTGTCATGCAGAAGTATTGAAGGCTTTAAGTTTCTAGGATTTTCCAGTTCTAATACTGAAAAATAGTGGTTTAAAATAGAGTTTTTCTAAAGTTCCAAAAAATGAAAATCAATAGTCTGAGGGTTGGGTTCCAAAATAATTAAGTGTAGAAAACAGTACATCCTTCAAGTTATCTCTTTGTATATCTGTAACACCTAGTTTTTAAGTACAATGATCAGAAATAATATATCAATTTATGTATCTATTCCTAGGATATCCTTTACTTGTTAAAAATCTATTGAACATTTCTAAATGTTTATTCTCTAATTGAAAAATTGAATCATTTTAAGACAAAGTAAATGCAAACTATCCAATAACTGGAAATTTACCAAACAGAAGATAGCTGGCAAATAATGGCCAAAACCCACCAAATTTTTCAAAAAGTAAGCATTTCTGATGAATATGTGGCTAGGAAAAGGCTAATTTTTATATTGGAAATTAAATACAATTTCTCATTTTTAAATGAGAAAAACCTATTGTCCTAGCTATTTCAACGTAACTATTTCTACCTTTGCTTCCACTGCTTTTCAAAATTTTGTTTGTGCTGCCTGTACCTCCTTAAAGGGAGTTTTTCACATAAAGTTCCTCTGATTGGTTCCTAATGAGTCAGGTTTGCACTCTGCCTTATCTTTAGTATAGAGAGAGACTATGAAGCCAAGCATGTGAAAACATGCCTGATACAGACCCAATCTAACAGCAAAAGAAAAGAATATGGAATTAATCATTGAATTCCACTTATTTTAAAACTTCACTACCAGAGATTTGGCAATGGATATATTGGAAAAAGAAAATGTATATTTCCTTAACAAAATTGATAGGGCATATTATAAAAAAATTAAACAATCAGCCAATTTCTTAGTATTTTAGAGGGAATATCTTGTAACAGGTTTTCTTTTATTTTCTTTGACGAATTTCCCTAATGCTTATAACATATCTTCTCCTTAGTACCTAAATCTGATATCAATTATTTACCGTTCACTCCAATATTCTCAAAGATAAAGACATTCTCTTGGCATCATCCCCAGGTTTTCCATGTAGTGAGCACTGCCATTTTCTGGTAATTTTTTAGAAATATTGTAAACCCAGAATGAAAGATCAGAGGAATATCCAGTTAGTAATGGGTAGGCTTCCTTTCTTGTGCATAGCTACTGGGGTTTTTTTTTCCTAGAAAATTCTGCACACATACATATTTCCTCTGTATTTTCAAGCTTAAGAAAAGAGGGCTTGATTCTCCTTACCAGCCCACACTGAAAAACAAAATCTACCATGACGACCAGTCCAACCAGCTACTCCTCCCCAGGACTGATTTATGTGAAGGTTAACATTTTTTCATGGATCCCAGAAAGTAATTAATGTCTATGAAGCTATAAGCAAGAAACTATAAAATAACTGGAGGAGACTTTAGAAGAAAATGGAAGATGCAAGAAGCGAAAGGCTGATTACGGGGATGGTAGTGATATGGGACTTGGTTTTCTAGGTTGTGGTTTAAGATTACAGTGAAGGACTCTTGGCTAGGAATGAAATGTGTCTCACCAAGAGGAAGAATGTATTTGTCTGGAAATTTGCCAATCTGATTAAGATGAAAAGTCTAGAAGCTCCACAGGAATTAAGTAAAAATCTTTGGATAGAAGCACTAGAAATGGAAAAAAAAATTTGGAATAACTAAAGAAAGTCAAACCGAGTTTATGGGATCAAGCAAGAAAGTGACACAGTCTGGTGATTATGCAGACTATGTTTAAAGATTTAATTTTTTTTTCCCTAAATGCAATGGAAAGTCACTGAAGAATTTTAAGCAGAAAAGCAATCTGATTCATGCTTTTTGTTGTTGTTGCTTTAAAAGATCATTTTGGAATATGTATATGAATTGGGTGGAGACAAAAATGGCAGCAAAAGACTAATTAGTAGGATTTTGTGATAGTCTAGACAGAGAGGTAGGGGGAGATGGAGCAATGCCAAAGTCATTATTGAGAAGTGCAGTTTCCTGGGTATGAGCTTGAATATACCATTGACTAAAAGTAGACTCCATAATATGTGATATGCTCTTTATGGAATTTAATGTCCCCAAAGGCAGGTAAATACAAAGCAAAAATACTATTCTCGACCTAATTGTCAAGAACCAATAAAATCATATCATAAAGTGGAAATATCTGGAGTTTAAAGAGAAAAAATATCATCAAATCAAATTTAATTAGGGCTAGGAAAAGGAATTCTACTCTTAGTTGTTTATTCAAGATTGTAATTTCCTAAAACCTAATCCTCAAATCTGATATCATTAAATAGATGTTCTGTGATCAAACCACTTTGTCAAATAACTCCTGTTTTAAGTTAAACAGCTTTCTTTTATTTCAGGATATTTCAGAGCCTTGGATATATGCCAGTGGGTCATGTGATTGACTAAAGCAGCACAGTCCATGAAAGTCACATAGGCGATTTTGGATTTTTGAGTAGCCATATTTAAAAAATAAAGAGAAACATGTAAAATTAATTTTAATAATAAATTTCATTTACACTAATATGTCAAAAGCATTATTTCACATACATCATTGAATAAAATGGTTTTGTGATCATTATCTATTTCCTATGTATCAACACTGTGAGCAGCTTTGAACATGACATTTAAATTTTTTTATTTCATGATATAATAAATACTATAACTGATAATTAAATCTCAGCATAAAGGCTTGTAAAATAAAAATCATTAACCCTGAATAAGTTAATGGTATAATGTGAACTGTGTTGAACACCTTTATATATTTTTATGTAACATTTATGACATGTTACACATACTAGAAATGTTCCTGATAATGACATCACCTTGGTTGATTTTTCCTCTGACTAAATTTTGTCTCAGTGAGCAAACCCTGCCACTGGCACCAATAGCACTTCCTCCTATACCCATACATAGGTGAGAACATTTTATCACACTCTCTTCAGTCTTTTATACCCAACCACTTGTATCAGTGCTTACTACGGACTGATGCGATTTACCTCCTCGGGGACTTCTGACCATTTTTGAACACAAATTCTGATTGGCACAATGGAGACGGTCCTGCTGGCATCTAGGGAGGAGAGGTCAAGGATGTTGCTATATATACTACAATGCACAGAATATGGTCCCACAACAGAGAATCACTCAGACAAAAAGGCCAATGGTGCTAAGGTTGAAAAGCCTGCTGCAGACTAACACTTCAAGAATGGGTCTAATTTTAATGTGTTTGATTGTATACTTTACCCACTGTAACATCTAGAAGAAAAAGACATTTGACGCTTAATTTAACATATGTGCTCTTTTGGAATTAGTAAAATGTATAGTGTCTAAAAATATGTACTATAAAAATATTTAAAATATTTATAGAATGTTTACAAGCCAAAAGAAATGCCAGAGATCATCTAATCCCAACTTCTCAGAAACCTGATGCCCTACAATAGTGGGTAACTTGCCTAACAGTACTCAGCTAGTAAGTGTCAAATTTAGGAGTAAAGCTAGTATATGAATTCTAAACTCATTGCTTGCTTTGCACTACCATATACATATCACATATCAAAGAATAATAGTGTATTGTAGGCAGAATAATGTCCCTCCAAAGATACCTACATACTGAACCTTGGAACCTACAAATATATTATGTCACTGGGTAAAAAGTACTCTGCAGATGGAATTAAGATTAAAAATCAGAAAATTGGCCCCTGGACCTGTGTGGAGGTGGTGTGAGAGCGGGAATAAAGAATTGCTGTTTGAACCTACAAAAAAAAATCAGAAAATTGAGATATTAACCTGGATTTTCCAGGTACAACCAGTCTAATCACACAAGCCCTTCAAAAATAGAAGAGAAGATAGAAGAGTCAAATATAATGGGGGAAAAACTTAAGGAGATTTGAAGCCTAAGTTGATCTCAGTCCTCTTTGTCGGCTTTAAAGATGGATGAAGGGAATCACAAGTCAAAGAATCAGGCATCCCCTAGAAGTAAGAAACAACTCAGGAAATGATAACCTCTGTCCTATAATGCCAAAGAAATAAATTCTGCAAATGGCCAAAATGAGCAAGTAAATGGATTCTGGTGTCAAGCCAGGAGAAGGGAACACATCCTACAAATACCTTGATTTAGCCAGTGAGAACTATGTTGGATTTCTGACTCACAGAATAATGCAATATAAATTTTTGCATTGGTACAAGCCACTAATATTTTGGTAATATTTACAGCAGTAATATAAAATTAAGAAAGTGCACAACAGTCAAAAAATAAATGTCCATAGACCACATTATTATCATATGTCTCTAATTTGTGTGTCATATGTGAAAACCATAGCCTTAAAGATCACTTAAAGTAATCCTCATGTGTTATTACTGAAATCTTGTTATGTTTTGAAATATTGCTAGGTTTTACAGCTGTACTCATATTTAAAAATTTTTCTTTGAAATATCCCAAATATGGTTTTG